GTATAATCAGTATCAGTGATATAGACATTATCGTCAGTATAATTGGTATAAACGTTATAATTAGTATAAGCGATATATCACGAATCGAATGTATAACATGTCCTATGTAAATGAAAGTATATAATAAAGGCCTTGAGCCCTATGAAGAGAATATTAAGTGTTCGTGATTCTAATAAAATTCGTCCCCTAATAATAAATATCCTACTGTCGTTATAATAACACCTACGATCATAAACTATCCACTCGCCAAATCTAACCGCCTCTTATCGACTAAGCCGTTCGTAGGTCACACGACGTATCCGATTGACAAGCGACTGACTCTCGTGTCAATGGTTTGCGTTCGTCCACAAAATCTTGAATTTGATTGGATGCAGTAATCGGATGATTTTCATGATACGCACAAGATACACAAGATCTACCGCTACATTCTGTTAACTATGAAAATGCGGTTATATTATTGATAAGATATACGTACTGTGGCATCAAAAATATAAAAATATGCTAATACGAAATTGTGAGTCACCGGTCATTCGTTTAAGACCTGCTTTAGATCTAGCCATCAGACAAAAAACACAATCAGACTTTTATATAAAATAAAATACAAAGTCGGATTCTTCATACAGTTTAAAAAGCATGTGATTTATCATTTAGATAAAAAGAAAAAAAAATTTCTGATTTTTGAACTTGCGTATATTTGTTATCGACTCCGTACAACAATACGCTCATGTTAGCAGATTTTGATAATTTCCGAAGACATTGTACTATCCTTTTCAACCTGGATCTCGTTTCTATAACACAAACATGCACCATTAATGTCATCATCTGTGCATTCTTTTATTATCACAAATGAAGACACGAATAATGTTGTTAGAACATTTGATAAAGCAAAAAATAGGTGCGTGCGCTAATAGATCGTTGACTACATTCCTGGTTTTAGTGCGACCCGACAGAGTCGCACGGTTACCTTGTTAGTGAAAAATTTACTTTGGTGCAACTAATAAACTACTTTTTATATCAATAATTTTATGCTGAATCTTGCTCTTCAACAAAAGGTGGCAACCCAAATTTTGTTGGTTCAAAATCATTTAAAGAACAAATCATTTCATCTGCACCATTTTTACCCGGATGTAATTCTGTAATTATGGGGTCTGGTACCCAAATAACCTAATTTAAATGGTTTAATTTAAATTTTATATTGATTATTATTGTTTATTTTGAAATTAAATTGGTATGAGAAAAACTTACTTTCATGTTTGCATTCTTTGCAGCCTTAATTCCGTTAATTGCATCTTCGAATACCAAACATCGATTTGTGGGAGGATTGCCAAGTTTTTCACATGATGCAAGAAATATGTCCGGTGCAGGTTTACCATTTTTGATATTCGCATCATCCACACAAGTAATACTATCAAACATATCAAATAATTCTCTATTATTGGAGACTTTGATATTAAAACTTTCCCGAGTCGAACTCGTTGCTACCTATTTAGTCGATTATATCTATTATTATCTTCTTTTTAAAGTAATGTCTTTTATTTTTGCAATTACACTTACTGCTATTGGAATTCGGTGCTTTTTCAAGTGCTTCACAAGTCGCTTGTTTCAATGAATAAAGTATTTGATTTAAGTGGTTTGTTTGGAAATACATAAATACAGTATTTTTATAATTAATTTACCATAACACCAGGCATGGGTTTAGCAAAAGGAAATCTTTCATACTTTGCAAATAAAAATTGTCTTAGTAAAAAATAAAATAAAATAATTAGCATCAAAATTATCATTAAAAAAAACTATATAACATACATTTTTTTCATTTTGTCCCTTATAAAGTTCATCTGCCGTCATATTAATACCTGTTTCATTTACTAAAAGAACTGAAAACTAAATAAAATTTTTAATTTTATAAAGATAAAATTGTTTTAGATATAATAAGTAATGAAAATTTTGGCAAAGTTCTAGTGATATAACATGTAATGACAAATTTTTACATCATATTGGCGAAGACCTAGTGAACGTGACATGAGTTCTAATGAGTAAGTTTTTCCAAATCTTGCCAAAATTTCGGCTATAAACAAATAAAATCATCATTTAAATTATATAAAATATAATGTATTAGTATATAGATAATATGTAGACTGTTACCTGCTACTTCACAGTAAATTTGTTCCGTATTCTATAAAAATGTAATTAGATTTATAATTCACATGTATAAGTACTATGCAGAAACTTGAACATCTTAATGTGCAGTAACTACATAGTAACTATGTAGTTACTATACAGTTACTACGCAGTTACTGTGCATTAAGAAATCAAGTTTCTGTAAAGTATATTACTAAATAAATTTACCAGTGGTAAGCCTGCATTATAAAAATAACCAGGAGATAAATTTAAGTATCATTATTTGAAAATGATATACAGTATTAATTAAAAAAAAAGAGAGATTAACCATCCATGTCAAAAATACAATGAGTTATAACGTTTTCATTGGTGTCAATGTTATTTACTTCAACATTAGTCGATGTTAATCCATCTGTAGTTGATTCTGCCATTTTATACCTCTATCTAGCTTTCTAAGAATTTTAAATTTTTATATATGAATTAACATATTATAAGAATTTATTCTCATAAGAAGTCTATCACAATGACTTACATTAAAAGATGGAGGTAGCAAATGTTTCTAAAACACAATGAGCGAATTATCGGTTAATATATGATCTACAGTATTACAACTCAACTAACCGACGAAGGGTATAGTTTACAGTGACCAATCCGATATATGCGAGTATCACCAAATAAAATGTGTACAATTCTAAAAATAGATTATTAAATAAACAATTTTTTAGAATCGTACGTTGTGAAATGGTAAATTGAAACTAAGGTGGTTTCATTGAATCTAAAACATATGCGTTAGTTTTAATTTAGTGCAATACAAAAATTTATTGTAAAATTCAATTTCGTAGCTTTCGTGAATTCTGTGCAATTCGTAGCTTTTGTGACTTTCATAGTTTTCGTGAATTTGTGGCTTTAGTTAATAATTTATATTGTATAAAGTAAAAAAACATGTACAAGCTATAAAAGCAGCATCTTTTCACCTCAATAAAGGAAGAAACTCAGTTGAGGTCAACATTAAAAAGTGTTCGATTCTACTAATTTCTTCTCTTGATAAGTAAAATATGTATTTACGACAGAAATTAGTGACAAAATTACGTGATTCTGTGTTAAGATACCTGTGACATAGTTGAGAGTTCTAATTGACCCTAGTTACTCGGGTTAAGTTTTTTCACATCTCGATCATAGTCTTACTATTATTAGGTTCAGTTACAGTAATTTAGAGTATATTTAGTATTGTGTAGTAAGGATGTAAATGACTTTAAACGACTTTCAAATGATCTCAAATGAATGAACTCATATTATCCTAATTTTATTATGAATTTTAGTCCAAAATGACCTAAGTCATTTGAAGGCAAATAACTTCTAATTTTACCATTCCTGATATTCAAAAGCAGAGATTTCTGATTGTCACATTTGGTGATAATTGTATGATTAAACTTCTCTAACCCCAAATTATAATATTTTTTACAAAAAAAAATTAATTATAATCTTATTGTATCGAATAGCATAAAGTTAAAATAGATCTAATTATAATTATAAAAATAGATTTCTAAAAATAAGTTAAAAATAAACCTAACTGACTGTTTTATTAATCAATTATAAAATTAGAAAATGTAATTTAGAAAATATATACATAGAATATATGAAAAAAATAGATCAAAAAAATAGATCAATTTTGAAGGATTATTATGCCAACTATGAATACAAATTTGATCATTACTTATTATATAATAGAAGTTATATGTAAACTAAGCTAACCAGTTTAAGAAGTTTATATTACCAGTGCGTTTAAGAATTTAGAAGCAAAAAAGATACAATGATTTGAATTGCATTAATTTTCTATATAATAAAACTTCTTAGTTAAGTACAGAATTCAAAACCTAAAAAATAAATATTTAAATATTATCTTTTTTTTGTTTTTAAGGTAAGGTCTTGATTATATCTTTATTCATAGTTTTTAAGTTAATATTTACATGAAGTTACTGAGTACAAAAAGTAGTTCTATATACTATAGTAGGGACTAACACTTGCAATCAGGGTTAACTATTAAACTGTTAACAATAAAACTATAACTCTAAGTACTAAATAAAGTTTTATTCAAGAATAAAAGCTTAGATATATTTTATTTATGTCTAAACCAATTAAAGTAAAAGTTAGTCAAGGCACAACTAGATTAGTTGGGATTTTCTAAATAATGTTTATTATTCTAGTATATATAAGTAAGCTATTTATAAATTTTACTAACCTACTATTACAAATCACAAACTAAACAAAATAATTAAGATATTATACATATACTCAATTATTTAATAAAACTCAAAAACATCAATTACACTATACATAAAGTTAAATCATATTCAAAAAATACTTTATATAATATAACTGATTCTCTTACCAAGCAAGGTGTCAACAAGACTAAATTAAAATTTAATCTTGATCACTTTTACCTACCTACTTATTTTTCTTGAAAAGAAATTCTAATCACATATAACCTATATAAATTTTATAAAAACCTAATTTCAATATAAACATTTAACAAACTTCTTCAACTTAAATCATTACGAAACCTTCCAACTATAAACATTCTATTATTAATTGAAATTATTAATTTTCAAAATTCCAATTTTATACTATATTCTATTAGAAACAAAATACTTCTTAATAATTTATCTATAATGTCAAATCTTTATACCCATTATTCCCTTTTCTATATAAATTTAAATTGTTCATATTGCAATCAATATAAAAGCACTAAACACTTATTTCAATGCTCATTTCATTTCTACAATTCACAAAACACTCTCACTAATGAAATCTCAAATGCTTTAAACTCTCTAAACATTACAAAAATCTTATTCAATGCAATAATACAAATTCTTATTACACAAAACATTTCTCTCAACCTAAATATATATAATACAATACTATTATTCATTCAGGATACAATAACTCTTAATTAATACAACTAACTTCAACTTACTCTAAAAAAACTAACTAACAATTTTCTTATTTTTTTATTTAACTTATTACTTACTTGGTTTAACTCTACTATCTGACAAACCTGTAACACTAAACAACATGAATGGAAATTATTACAAGAAATTACATCCTTTACTAAAAAGAAAACCAATATTAGATTACCTACTGCTCAATTTACAAATTCTAATAATATTACTTTTATTTTTAATACTGATATAGATCCTTTTATTTATAAACTCTTACTCAAAACTTCACTATATATACCTGTTTTTACTAATTAAATAATCTTAAAGGTTCCTTTTACTCTCTCTGTAATTAAGTTCATGTTAATTAACTCAACTAAAACAGAAAACTAAAGGATAATATCACATTAGATGATGTAGTATATAACAATAATAGTGTAGTTTAGGAATAATATTTTAGTTATACATCTATATCCAATTGATATATAAATGTATTTTTATTTTTTTTACTTGATATTATACAAATAAAAAAATAAATAAATAAATAAATTAAATTTTACTAACTATTTACACTATTAGAAATTAATTACATTATTATAAAAAAAGAAAACAGAGATAAGATAATTAAATACAAAATTAAAATATAATTAAAAAAATAAATAGTATAAATTAAATAAACAAATAGATAAAAAAAAGTTAACAGAAAAGTAAAAATATAATTAGAAAAAAAATTATTATTAAGTTTATCAATAATTTTAGATATATTAAAAATATAAATAAAATTAGGTTTTGATATTACTAATATAGAAATATCAAGTTTTTAATAAAATATTAGCTTTTTTGGTTAAAATATAACTTATTAAAATTTTATTTTAGCTAAATAATAATTTGTTTAGAAATTTGAGTAATATTATAATAGGCAATAATTCTAATTAAGATCTATGAATTATTTGTTTAAAAAAGATTTTGTTTAATACTTCTTTAAGATTAAGATTATAATTTTATTATTTGTTATTATATATTTAAAATAGATTTTAAAATAACAGCAAAAGAACTAAGATATATATTTGGATTAATAGAAATGTTATTTAAAGATAAAATATATATAAATTACTTGTTATATAGTTTTAATTATAATTTTTTTTTATTTTAGTATTTAAAATATTTTTCTAGCTTTATTATTTTTAGACCTTTATATAAAGTTGTAAAATAGATTTTTATAATTATAATAATAGTATAATTATAATATTTGAATTAAAGTTTATTAAAATAAGTTTTTTTTTTTTAAATATTAATAGTGAGGCTATGCTTTTAACTTTATTAAAATTCAATTAAAGTTTTTACAAAGAAAAGCTTGATTTTAAATTACATATAAAGAATAAAGACTCAGACATATCTAAACCTACAAAAGTGATCAAGGCTTATCTAGATTTGTGTGTTAGTAATAATATATGAAAGAGAAATATAATATTTAATTTATTGGACAATTCAAAGATCAATTTTAGTAATAATTTATAATATTAAGATAGAAAATAATAGTAAACTAGAAAGAAAATTATGAGTTAAGTTTGTAGAAGATGTAATTGAAGACTGTGCTAAACATAAAATACAATATGTGATCCATATTTGTTTATATCTTTGTTAATTTAAATGAAGAAAAAATTTAATAAAAAGAAAGATAGCTATATGATAAGGAATAGAAGTATTATAAATAGTAGAAATAAGGTCAATAGGAGCTAAACCAGATAAAGTAGAAATAAAAGAAGATATATAAAAAAAGTTATGCAGTTTAAAAATGTTTAGTATAAGAATTTTTTGATATAAATTAGAAATAGAATTAGTGAACATGTCAAGAGCAGTAGCATTTAAAATGCAGTTAAGAGAATTAAAAATTAAGTAATAAATTGTTTGAGTGGAAGAACAAAGAGTTCAATATAATGAAGAACTAGTTTGATTGCATTGATAGCAAAAAGAAGAGTAAGAAGAGTTACATTTGTGAAGAATATAAGGAACAGATAATTCATTCAAAAGAATTTTAATATAAAAGATTTTTAAAATAGAGGAATAAAAGCTATAGACAAATTTAAAAACTTTTTGATTATTATTAATATAAAGCCAAGTGGCTTCTTAGTTAATATTAAATACAATAGTAGACTATTGTTAAAAATGGTATTAAGATGTTCAAAGTGTTATACTATGAGCTTGACAGATAGTACAAATAGAGTGTTAAATAGAAATCTCAATAGAAAATTAGTCAATAAATGAAGTATATGCAAAGTTGTAAGGATTGTTACTTAAAAATATTAAAAAAGTAGTATTGATAACTACAAGCAAGCTAGTTAGTAAGATTATTAAATAGGTTACCTTGATGTATAGTAACTTTGTAAAAAGTGAGCTGAATATTGTATAAATTAATGAAGTTAATAAAAGTTTGTCAAATAGAGAAGTATAAAGTGTAAGTATAAAAAAGTTTAGAAGCTGATAAGCAGATATTG